TTCTGTTGATGTGAATGATATGTTGTTGGGTATAGTGCTCTAGGTTGTCATCTGTGGTCTGTGAAAATTGGAGAACATCCCCCCAGACACATCTGTACTTCAGAGCATCCATGGTAAATTCAGTCTTTGGTCTAATGGGCCAGCCTTGGTATGTATTGTGGTCTCATTCCTTTGTATGTTTTAGTGTATTTTTGCTCTCTACATTTATAGTTTTGATTATTTGTCATACTGTGTTCCTTTTCTGGCCCTGTCTATTTGGTGTTCTGTATGCCTCTTGATCTTTAATAGGTATTCCCTTGTTTACATTGGAGAAATTGTTTTTTTTTTTTTTATTTTTTTTGGTTTTTCGAGACAAGGTTTCTCTGTGGCTTTGGAGGCTGTCCTGGAACTCGCTTGGTAGTCCAGGCTGGTCTCGAACTCACAGAGATCGAGATTAAAGGTGTGCACCACCAATGCCCAGCGGAGAAATTGTTTTTTAGACAAATCATATACAAGATGTTATCTCAGTATATCTAATCAAGTCCCTGGAAACTCAAACTAGAGAAGTATAATAAAGAAGCAAACACAAGGTAAGATCAACAGTACATTCAAGACCATGGAAAGGAAGACTAGGACCATGTCAGAGTTTGTAGTTTTCAAACAGCATAAGTTACTCTAGTACCCAAACATAACACAACTTTTTGATATTGTCCAAATACCTCAGATTATAGGTAGGTATTTAACCCCTCTATATTATCACAAAACAAATGCAAATAAACAAAAAGTTTAAAATATGTGTGGGTAGTTACTCATTAAAACTTAAAATATTTTTACATATTTCCAAAATAACTATGATGTAAAATATTTACCTAGTTATGTGTGTGTGTGTGTGTGTGTGTGTGTGTGTGTGTGTGTGTGTGTGTGCAATGTTTAATACAGACATACACCTTTTTTCTTTAGAACCATGGACAGTTGCATCCTTCTTTGGAGAGTCTGTGGATGAGAGAAGGGTTAGGACATTGGGGATTGGTTATTCTTCTTAAAGCTCTTACAAGAGATGTGGTCTGTATTCTGAGAAGTGATAACGCCTGGAGAAGGTCACAGCTGTGACATATTTTTTGGACACCTAATATATCAGATATGGAACCAGTGAGAAGAGAACAAGGGAGAATAAAACAAAGCAAGGAAGAAAGGGAAAAGGTGAAGTCGGGAGGATGCAAAGATTCCGACTGAGCCAAGCACTGACATCAGCCTGTGTCATAACTGTTTACTGAGAGCCAGAGGATCCAAGTCGGGTTTGGAAGGGACATATTAAGGCATTGCCAGCTTGGGTATGGATAGGAGAGGGGCCAGCATCTGGGCTTTACCCAGCTTTCCTCCTATCTCATGTCCTCCTTCCATGTTCAATTTAATGGAGAGCATTAGATGAAGAGTGCTGACAACAAATCTCTTTGGTAGAATGAGCCAATAATGGGAAAACAGCTAGGTTTCCAAGGGAATTTCCTTCTCATGATTCAGTACAGCCTCCTGGCAAATCTCTAAAATGTGACCTTCATTAAATTAAATTAATTGCTTCTATCTTAGACGGACACACTATTTCACAAATTCAAAGTCTCCTTCCCCTGAAAGATGCAGGACACCAGAAATCCAGTGTAACTGAGGTCTTCTGCTTCCTGTTATTCAAGTGTTGTCTGGTGCATATTTAGAGAAAATAGCTGAGACTTCACCTTCTCTTGACTAAGAATTCAGCCCTATGCTTCCTGCTTGAGTTCCCAAAGGTGGTCTCTTCCTCCTCTCACCTCTGCAGGGACCTTAAGATACCATCATGTATGATGCAGCTCTTTTTACCAGATACCTGAGGGATTTCTGAATTGAGATTCTTTAAAATCACAGGAAAGAATGTGTGTCTGTGTCTGTATTTTATGTGAATCTCTGAAGACTATGTGGCACAGGCTAGAAATCCTACAATGATCTTCCACTCTGTGTCCATATTTTTGTGTCTATAGACCTTGAAAAATAATTCTCGTGTTCCAAGTCCCTCTTCTTATTGTGATCAAGGAGGACAGTAGATGGTGGTAGAACCCCTGATACTGGGGTTACAGACAGTAGTATGTTTCTGTATGTACCAGGAATGGAAGCTTGGATGCTTTGAAAGAAACTTCAATGCTCTTAACTGTTAAGCTGTTTTCCAGCCTAAGTTTTCTCTTCTTGATTATGTTTCCTGTCAAGACTGCCTAGTCAGCGTCATATACCAGATATTGTTTAAAAAAATAGAATTCTCTTTAATTTGAGACAATGAGTCTCATTCATGATGAGCTCCCTAATTGTTTATCCACTACAACATGGTCAGCCAATTATCAATGTATATACAACCAACAAAAACATATTCAGCCAATTGTTTTCATGCATGTCTGCACACATAGTCAAACATACTTAAAAGAAGAGAATTTGTAAGGGATTTGGGAAGGGCTCAAATGAAGAGATAAAATTGGAAACTGATAAAATATCTTCTAATAATCAACTTACGGAAATAATTTTTAAGTAATAATAGGGGTGAGAGAAATGGTTCAGCAATTAATTGCACTGGGTGTTGTTACAGAGGACCCAGGTTCCATTTCTAGAACTGAGAAGTTAGCTAACTATTTCCTGTAACTCCTGCCCCCAGCATCTCCTGCCTTACTCTCGCCTCTGAATGTAGTCTGCACAAACACATAAGAAGTAACACACATATAACTATTTTTTGAAAGTTAGAATCAGTACAAAAATGGAATTCTCCAAAGCAATATTATAACTCTGAGAAACACAGTAGCCAAGGGTAATTAAAATGAACTCTTTCTGGTCATACATGGAAGCAGCTGTGGCCATCTGCCTAGCCAGCCTGCTCAGAGGCAAAAACTGCTTTGTTCTGAAGTTAATGGAACTCATCATAATGTTTCATCTAAGAGTAGAGTATGCAGTACCATTACGTAGCATTTCCTTGACGTTTTCTGTATTTGGGTTCTGAAACGTTTGTGTTTGTGGGAATTGTGCCCTTGATGCAGTTATCTTTTAGAAGAGACATCAAGTTTGAGAGACAGCGTAAGCTCCATAGCAGTGGATTTTCACTGTGTTATTTACCTGATTTTCTGATAAGAGCATGAGGAACAAGATGAACATGCTAAAGGCATTTCTTTCCATCTTTTTAGAGTTTATGTCTCTGCATGTCTTTGAAGTAAAATGTCCATAAATGTCTCTGATTTTTACACTGGGATCATGTTTAGATATAGATTTCTTCATCTGCGCCTGCATAGGAATAGAGAGAATATTACATGAATGTGTCTACACCCCCTAAGTAAAATCCACATGCTCTTTTGCTTAGGCACTGTGTTGTTTTGAAAATAACTCCCAGGCTCCCCCTGCCTCCTTCAGGTATGAAATCTTTCTCAAATCATCTGCCTAGGTTGTTGTGCTGGCTATTCTTGGCAGTCAAATGGACTACCTCAGTAATTGCCTGAAACTCACAGCATTGGGTACACCTTGCAGGATTTCTCAATAGGTTTTGAAATTAAAAACTCATATTTAATCTGGATCATTAAAGGTGCTATCCACCTTCAGGTGCTTGAGAACTGCTGCTCACCTCTAACCCTAGCACTCAGAAGCATTTGAATTTTCTGAGTTTCAGGCCAGTATGGTCCACAAAATGAGTTCCATGGCTGCACAGAAACACCTTGTCTTAACTCCCCCCCCAAATACACCCAAACAAACAAAGATCTGTCTTTACTCTGGATCAGACCTTCTGGTGGCAGCCTATATATAGAAAGGATATTGAACAAGGAAGCTCCCTCTTTGTTTCTCCTCAGCCCTGGCTAACAAGTTCATTCCTTTCTCAGAATGAGAGCCAATTCCATGAGATTTTGTTGTATGTTGAAGACCAGCAGGGATACTCAGCCTCATAAACAGAAAAATTCCTGGATTCTTCAAATTTTATTGGAAGGCAACCATTGCTGGAGTATCAGGACCAACACCTAAAACATTCTAATAAATCCATTTCTACATATATGCAGTGATTCATTCTACCAGTCCTTTTGATATAGAGAACCATGAATAATGTAATTGTGGTTTTTATTTTATTTTCAATTCCCCACTGAGGAAGCTGTGCTGGCTCACAATAGTGATTGTAAACACATTTTCCTTGCTCCATTATTCTCTAAGTATTCAACATTCCATGGAGGCTACTCTGCATTACTATTCATTTGTCAACATTTTGCTCTAAATTCAGGAATGTAATTCCTAATGCAATGGAGCCATTATCCAGCTTTCTGAAGGGAGAAAGTAACATTATCTTATCTGTGATCTAACTCTTTATATTCTTCCCTGGTTTGCCTAAGTCCCTATCGCAACTGGATAAAAAGCAAGTTCAGGTCACCTGACCTCAGTATGAAGCCACATAAGAAGCCTCTCCTAAAAAAAAAAAAAAAAAAAAAAAAAAAAGAAGCCTCTCCTATTGGTTCCCAAAATCACACTTTTTGGGGGGGAGGTTTGGAGACAAGGTTTCTCTGTATTGTTTTGGAAGTTGTTCTGGAACTCGAACCATAGACCAGGCTGGCCTAGAACTCACAGAGATTCCCCTGCCTCTTCCTTCTGAGAGCTGGGATTAAAGGCGTGCACCACCAACACCCAGCTGAAATCACTTTGTAGTTGTTAACATTTTGGCTACTTTTCAACCTGTGTGACAGAAATTCACTGGACTACACATAGTACAGAGGGCTGTAAAAGTTTGAGAGCTACTCTGTGTTCAGAAAAAAGAACAGGAAGTGCCTAAGGAGATCAGGGGACAGCAGGGTCTGCCACACCAGCCAGAGGCAAACACTTTTGAAATGCTTATCTGCTGACTCAGTAAAGGTTTTTGTTTAGTTTGAAAGGCAGGATCAGGAACCAATGGGCTATGTCTTAAAGCACAGTGTAATCCTATTGGAGGAGCTCTTGTCACTCAGGCTTCACTAACCAATCATGACCTCGAGGCTATCTGCCACTCAGAAGTTCTGCTGCGTCCTTCCTGCTGCTCTCTTCAGGCTTGGCTTTGCAGAGAAGCTTTTCTGTGGTCTTGTGTGCTGTGCTGTGACTACTGCTTCAGGGCGCTGAGCCTAGAGGAGCTTGAAAAGCACAACATGGTGAGTTTGGGGTTACCATCCCAAGACTAGTAGAAGAGACTCTTTGAGCCATTGGAACCAGTGTGGCGGGTCCTCCCCTGGCTGGCTGGGAGGAAGTGGCCAGAAGCAGAGTTTGCCGTGTTACTGCTTAGCCATCCTTTATCCTGTGTGGTCCTAATGGTCCTATGTGCCCCAGTTTATTTTTATGTGGTCCTAAGAGACCTGCATGTTCTTTGCAATTCTCTGGGTCAGCTGGCAAACTCTTAAGTATGTTCCCTCTGCTGTCTGTGCATGTGCAGAACATTGGATTGGGACTGTGTTTTGAAATATCCTGGTTGATATCACTGTTAAATGAAAGCACCCTTAGTGCTTGTTCTGTGACTATCAAACACAGATTGGCAAACTCAGAGAGCTCCAGTCCCTTTAGTATTCCAGCAGTTCTGCACTTTGAATGTTTAATATTTATGCTTTGGATGCTTTTGGAGTTAATTACGTAGATATTGCAAACAATATTTCCCTTGTAGAGAAGCACTCCACTGCTAATCTGTGATATGGAAGTGTAGAAGTGATGGCTGTAGAATTAATACTATACAGATTTCCTAGTTCTTTGAAGACATTAAGTCACTAAATAGAATTTAGGTAATGGATGACTACATACTAAATATTCCAAAGACTAATATTATGCTATTCATGACTGCTAGAATCTGGTAAATTAGATGTAGATGATTGTTCCTTAGATTTAGGCAGCTCTAACAAAAAAGGAGACAACTCCTATTTAAAAGCACCAGAAATGCCTATCCCTCCATTACAATCAGGCCTCTAAAGGCTGCTCAAGGGACCATTATGATGTTACAACCAACATTAAGTCCTGGTGTCCCATAAAGTACATTAAGTCTAGAGGAGTTGCATCTCCAGTCTTTTGCAAAGCAGTTTTGTGTCTTCTATATTGATGGAGTGGCCTTGAACCCTATCTGTACCCCCCCACCGGGCACTGCTCTTGTTATCCTGACAAATTGCCCTAAATATTGGATTAAAAATCTGAAGCTTCAAGCATCTTAAAGTACTAGTTTGAGGCACATAGTTGACTGTCCATTGCAGAAGAGGGAAAGGAATTATGTTTGAAGCATGGTTTCCCCCTTCAGAGCAGAAGAGGGGGAAACAGTGCACTGTGCACACTTCAGAGGGAAACAAATGAGGTGGCAGCAACATCGCAGTCTGAAGATGAAGGCAGTGAGATGCAGGGATCTGCATTTTGAAGAAGGACTGATGGGGCATGGGATCCTTGTGGGGACATGCTGTGACTTCTGTCACAGCACTAGACCTGCTTAACTAGTTGACTTGGGATCACTTGGTGTTTGCAGTGAATATAGGATACCAAATTAAAGATGAGGTGAACAAGAGATTAAGGACAGACAGAATCCAATTGTGTCCTTGTCTCTAATTCAGGAGAGTGAAACTCTGTATGCATCCCTTAAATTTGTCTTCTAGGCAAGTGTGATGATTTTGTTCAGAGGTATACAACTGAGAAGGATGCTATGTATGTAGGTACTGTCTGCTCCTGGTACCATACATTTTTATTTTTATTTTTATTCCTATATCTTATCTCAGGATGACATCTGAGGAATGAAACAAAAAATTGTTCTTTTGACTCCTCATGAGCATTGAAACCCATGCACACTTGTGCACCTTCATGTGAACACACAGATAAAATACCAACAAAAAGTAAACATTAGGAAGAGTGAGAAGTGAAAATGTCTATGAATTTTTCAATAAGACTGATTTTTGTTGCTTGAGGAAGGTTATAGTTTGAAAGTTAAGAAGGCTCCTTGAAGTCTTTTTTTTTTAAGATTTGTTTATTTATTATGTATACAGTGTTCTGCCTGCATATATTTCTGCAGGTCAGAAGAGGGCACCAGGTCTCATTACAGATGGTTGTGAGCCACCATGTGGTTGCTGGGAATTGAACTCAGGACCGCTGGAAGAGCAGCGAGTGCTCTTAACCTCTGAGCCATCTCTCCAACCCTCCTTGAAGTCTTAGTGATGGAACATTATTCAGAAAAGCCATTTAAGTTAAGAGAGTTAGTAGGAATGATTGAGTGTAAATTAGGGAAGCAGATGTTCTGAGGAGTAATGGCTATAGGGTACAAGAAAGTGTCCCTTCATTAGAGGAATGAAAGAACATAAGAAGAACACTACTTGTCCTGCTATTGTAAACAATTGTGTTCTATATTACACTGTTTCCAGATACACACATTCCACAGTGCTTTTGTGGGTGCCAGAAAACAAATTATAGGGAATTTCTTTCCTTCTGACATGTGGACTTGTGATTCAAACTAGCCTTTAGCCTTAATTGTAAAAGCTTTTATTTTCTTAGGCAACCCCTATGCCCTCATATTTTTATTATCTGTATGAAATGTTCAGAGCTAATTTGCATTCGTTTCGGTGGATCTTACTCAAATAGTCTTGCTGTGTTGTGCCCAATTCTGAACCCCAAAATCACTAAGAGTCTTTTGTTGCAGTTTAACAAGCTAACCCCATTAACTCCTGACTTTCAGCCATCCACAGAAGCTGATGGTTACAGAAAAGACCCTGAGAAATCATGAGGCAGGGATCTTAAAGCACAGGGTATAGGGAGTTATCTGGGGGCATGAAACAGACTCAGTACTGGTGCGCTTAAAGGTTTGGATAGCCTGCCCTTTGTTAATTGGCCAACTGGCTCTTATAGGCCATAGGCCCTTCCAATGCAGTTGCTATGCTCTGCACATCACTGCTTTACAGAGCTCTCTTTCCATGGGACCACCATTGCCTTCTGAGATTTCAGAAATTCCTAAAGTCTTGGAATGTCCTGGGGACAAAAATGGTGGTCATCATTGATGAAACTTCTTGGTAAACTGGGAAATGTTAATGAGGCAAGCACCCACATAACAGTTGTTTTGAGGCATTGGGTTGTATTGGGTACTTTGGAAGACCAGCTGGTGTTCATGATCATGGAACCATTTCTCAATCCTTCCCCTACTTTTTTGGGGGATATGGAGTCTCTGTGTAGCTTAGGTCCTCCTCACATGTGTCCAAGCACTTGTGGGTTTTCTTTTGTTTGTTTTTTTGGTTTTTTTTTTTTTTTTTTTTAGGTTTTTCGAGACAAGGTTTCTCTGGCTTTGGAGGCTGTCCTGGAACTCACTCTGTAGACCAGGCTGGCCTTGAACTCACAGAGATCTGCCTGCCTCTGCCTCCTGAGTGCTGGGATTAAAGGCATGCACCACCAACGCCCGGACACTTGTGGTTTTTAAAACCTTCACTGCAAATTCAGTTGATTCTCTTAGGTCTGACTTTATATGTTTCTTAGTCATTTTCCTTTTCAGATTCTAATATTCTTACATTGCTCGCATTGTTTAGTGTTTTGTTGATTATGTGGCAAAGGAATTTTCTATTGTGGCCCAATCTATTTGATGTTTGGCATGCTTCATTGTACCTTCAAAGGCACCTCATTAATTCAGGATATTTTTCTTCTGTTATAGGAAATAATATATACACCTTTTTCCTGAGTTTCTTTTTCCTCTATTCCTGTCATTCCTAGGTTTGGTCTCTGCAAAATGTCCCACATTTCTGGGATGTTTTGTGTCAGGAAATTTATAGGTTTAACATTTTCCTTGGCTGATCTATTCATTTCTTGTAGCATATCTTCAGTGCTTAAGGTTCTCTTTTCCACCGTCTATTCTATTGGTGAACCTTGTCTCTGTGCTTCCTGTTTGCAGTGCTCAATTTTTCATTCCTGGGATTCATTCATTTGTGTTTTCTTCTCTTTTTTGTGGCATGGATTCTGAGACAGGGTTTCTGTGTGACTTTCAAAGCTGTCTAGGAACTAACTCTTAGCTGACAGGGATCTGCCTGCCTCTCCCTCCTGAGTGCTGGGAGTAAAGGCTTGCATCACCAACACCTGGCCTATTTGTGTTTTCTTTATTGTTTCTATTTCCATTTTCAGGTCGTAAACAGTTTCATGAATTTGTTTTAAGTACTAGTTTGTTATTTTCTTTGTTTTATTTAAGGAAATGATTGTTAGCATGTTTTTTTTTTTTTTTTTTTTTTTTTTTGGTTTTTCGAGACAGGGTTTCTCTGTGGCTTTGGAGGCTGTCCTGGAACTCACTTGGTAGTCCAGGCTGGTCTTGAACTCACAGAGATCCGCCTGCCTCTGCGTCCCAAGTGCTGGGATTAAAGGCGTGCTCCACCAATGCTCGGCTGAGTGTTAGCATGTGTTATGATAGTTTTTATTAGTTATAATTTAATTATTGTTTATTTGGACAATGGTAAACCTTCACATGTCTTTATTTTATGAAATGTTACTATATTTTGAATTTCTTGAGTGTATTGGTTTGGAGCCTTATTGTGGAGAAACAATTGTAGTTTTTTACTCTTGATTTTTGAGTCTTGTCTCTCATCTTTTCTTGACTTATCTGTGTTTTCCAGTAGTTAGTGTCATCAATGTTGTATTTTTGCTATTTAAGTTACCAAATTGTTTGCTACATTGGTATTTTTTTCATTATCTTCTCATTCATTGTCACTGTGTCCTAGTTAGCTTCAGGTGTCAACATATCAGAGCCTACAGTCACCTGTGGAAGTTTTCCTCTCAGAATACCTTGTTGCTATGCTTTGAGAAATTCTTTTTTCATTGATGATTTATGTGTGAAGACCTTTTCTTTTTCTTTTTTTTTTTTTTTTTTTTTTGGTTTTTTCAAGACAGGGTTTCTCTGTATTGTTTTGGATGTGAAGACCTTTTCACTGAGGGTGCAATATCCCTAATAAAATTGGCCTGGTATGCATTAGACAGCTAGCTGCAAATTAGATAATGATTAAGTAATAAGAAATCCAGGAAAAAAGACTCTTCATGGTTTTGGCTTCAGTTGCTAGCTTGACTTTCTATCCAGAGGAAATTTGTTAGAGAATTCAATCACAGCAGCAGAGAAAAAAGGTGGAACAAAAATGGGACACCAATCATTATTTGGTTGTTGGGCAGAACCTGAGAATTT